TATAATTTTCAAGAATTGCCACAATTCATAAGTATCGAACGTAACAAACGTTTTATAATATATCTTATTAGTTTTGTATAAATTTAATAAAAATATTTTTTGATTTCTTTTTTTTTTAAGTATACAGTATTTGGCATTCTCTTTTAGTATTAGTTTAATATGACTAATAATTATTTTCTTTTTCTCTAAAGTATTACATCTTACGCCAAGTGTGAAATACAGTGAAACAGAACACTTTAACTCAGTTCTCTTTTAATAACTCGCATTACTCTTCAATGTGTCTTGCCTATCTAATTTTACTCTACCAATTATCTAATCTTATTACACAATTTTATGAATTTTTACGAAAATTTCCCTGTCAGTTCCAAATTAACTTCACCTACAACTGTGTGTCTGTAGTGTAGATAATTTTAATGATCACTATTTTATAATGGTATATAATATGTATTACATTATATTTATCATTAGGTACTTTCATGAAGACTTTGTATTCGTCGAATGAAAATCAATCCTTTCAATACGATGTGATCAAACATTCATTCAACGAATACTTATATCCTGCACACATAGTGTAAAAAATATGTATGTGCATCATACTTAATGCATACACTGAATGTGCTCGAAAGTTCTTAAGGAACAGGAATTTTTACTCCTTTAAATGGATATTTCCTGACATGTAAACGAACGATATAAATATATATATATATACATATGTGTATATAATATTGTATATACATGTGTATATATATATACACACGCATATATCACACGAGCTATTACATTGATTACGAAAACGTTATGGTCTGACCATGAATCGTTTCCGAAAATTTATTGTATGGATCATTCATCCCGGATACGTTACATACGTCCATTTCTTGCAAAATGTTCTTTCTCGAAGAGAAAAAAATGACTACGTTCGAGTGTACGCGATTGCCTGCGATCGCGAAATAATCCACAATATAAACTGAAAGTTTATTAATCAAGAGTCTTTTAACGGAGGAGAGACAGCAATGACAAGATAGGCTTACTTACTTGAAAACTACTAGTCAATGAATCTACTGGTATGAGGTGAGTAGATTTTGTAAAACTGTTATTATGCGTAATTCTATTTTAATCTTTGGGTGGGACGTTTATACAAGCATTTGGTAAAGATTACAAAAAAGTAAAATAACCCATTACAATTAATATTGATCATCCTATTAGGGTGAAATATTATTTGAATAATTTTATCAGTATTTGTAAATTTGATATAATGCCTGTTATTCTTGTTTATCCTCAGTTTTTATATAATGGTAAACGTTGGCTTTATCTTAATCGCCGAATATAATTACAGTGTGAAAGTAATCTATACTTTTTTTTTTAATTTGTTTAATAGATTTTCTAATTTGTAATCTTTATTGCCAAATGAAAATTTGTGCCGTTGCGAAGTTTCAAACTATCAGAAAACAAGAAATAGGAAGTTACAATCCACAAATGGGTTTATTTCGTTAAACTGAATTCAATGTACATTGACTCCATATCCTGGGCTTTGATATTTCTGCGTAATCATACGAACTTAATCGTTTTATTACACGATTCTGCAAGAACTTAATACTTGTGTGCAAATTTACCAGCCTAGAATGTGTTTTTTACCTACGACAACCAAATGTATTTATGTATCAACTTCTAGCAAAAGGTTGTCTAGGTTCGCTATTGAAATCTAGGCTGTTATAACTAATCGCTACCTGAACAACAAAACCTTGAAATTCTGTATCAGTGTTTTACTTGGTCTGTGGGTGGTAATACATTTTGGGAACCTGAATCTCCTAAGTATTTTTATTATACGTATAGCAATTTATTCAAATTAATGCAATATACTATTAAAGAAATGGTCTTTGGATATATTGTACACCTGAAGTTCGGCGCGCTGGAAATGTTCTACAAATAGTTTTTACTCATAACACTCATATAATTATTTAAGTTAGTTCCAAACAGTTCTCTTCATGGCTTCATTCATTTGTTAAAAAGACGTGTACTATCGTACGGAAATCTATTTTTAATGCCATCTACGCAATACATCTAATCTTCTAAATATTATATATTGCATCTTTCCTAAATAGTTTATCTAGAATTTAGCTCTAATAATAAAATGATGCGTATTTACTATACATGTTATATCTATACTCTATAGTAATGAATTTTTACTTGCAGTGTTATTTAGTGAAGGGACAATAAGTTCATATTTATATGACGTAATACCATTTTAATTTTATTTAGAAAACCACACATGTTTGCAATTTGTCAAGCATTAATTTATTAATTTTCACATTCAAACTTGAAAAATTACTATGAAGTAGAATACTTTATATAATCCTTTGTGATTACAGATGCTCATAGCAGTTGGGGGCTGAGAAAACGAGTACAACGAATTTAAAGGTGAAAACGTAAGTTTTTGTAAAACTTGTTTCATATTGAAACCAAAAATAATTATTTAATAAAAGACATTGGCATAAGATTTTTTAAATAATTATATAAAAATTATATTTTCTTACTAAATTTAAGTTTTTTGATACATTCCCAGTAACTTCAATATACTGCTTGTACAAAAGTGTTGCAAAGTAATTAATATAAAAAAGTTTGTTTTTTATACAACATTTACATTTTACAGATTTCATTCTGTATGAATCGGAATATGACCATATGAAGTTTCTGTTCGTGTGGAGGAACAACGTCGAAACAATAAGGTTCGCTCAACTTTATTTAATTTTTACTGAATATATTTATACATTTCGAGAGTAATATTTTCTACGATGATAACTGCTTAATGAGAGTTTTCGGTGACTGTCTCAACGTGTTCTGAACATATTACTCTAAAAATCTGTTTTTTTTCAACATTTGCTTATCGTATTAACAAAATGTTTGTTATTTGATTTACAGAGGAAGGATTCACAGATGTGGCAGTTTTTTTTTAACATAAAAACAGTCTTAAGAAGATATAAGAAGTGATGCATACGCGAGTTATTCAATGGAAAGTGAAATACAAAATCAGATATTCAATTATGCACACTTTTGTATAGAAAAACAATATTCTGTCGTCATTGGATCCTTTTCATTAAGGTATATACATTATATAATCACTTCTTATTTAACACAAAGTTTGCTATTTTATTATAAAATATTAAAATTAAAATCAAATTTAATGATGATATTCTTTCGGGGCTGAAGTACTTATGACGAAGCTTCAAAACTCCAACGTGTACAATTGACTGAGATATATACAAACTCATAATTATAATTGTCATTTATTTATTCTATTAGTAATTAGGTTTATATTTTTTCTAGCAGAAGTTCAAGGATCAATGTGAAAGAGAAGTCCTTCAGTGTTGAATTATAATTTAAAGGTACTTGTTTATTGCGACAATGTTAACATACTTCTAATACTCTATTAAATAAAAAGTACTAGAATATAAAAAATAAATTAATATTATTCTTACGTAACATTTTTTGTGATGAATTTTTGGCTAGAGTCCTGAGTAAAAGAGATGACAATTTCTGTTTATATATACACTGATATTTCAAATTACGAACCTAGAAAGTAACGTGAATGAAATTATATACAAATTTATTGTTTGCTTTTTTTGTTGCAGTGTCTCATTGAATATTGATACCAAATTACATGTCGTTCAATTTATGTACACAAATCAACCTCAATATTTATTTTACAATATATTAGCAATACTACTAGTGCAACTTAAATATTTTGTATTTTGCATAACTATTAAAGAAATATGTTGTAATCTAATAATCCGATAATCCTACTCATAATTGAATATCTCCCTTCTCCTTACATCTCTACATAGTATAAAATAAAGTTCTTGGTAGGCGTCTATCTGTTCGGGCTAATCGCTAGAACCACTTGATCAATATGATTCACAAATGGTTCTAATGAATTTTAATTAAGTAAGAAGAAATTTAAATATTCCGCAGGAAATTGGTGTCGCCATCCAACAACGAATATACTGAACTATTTTAGGAGTATTATCAGCGCCTCTATCGGGAAAACGCCCAAGTTTGTTCTTGATTAGTTCCTCTTTTTACTGCTAGATGGTGCTATTTACATTTTTTTTATCATCGTCGATAACTTGTCGATATATTACCATAATATCAGTAAAAAAAACAATGTATATCTGCGTCTCGTCTAATTTCATATTCGATATAAATAAACTAGTATTAGTATATTATTAGAAATTTATAAATTAACTATCGACACACAAGTTTACTATACAGTGTGCACTATAAAACAGGATACGATCTTTCATTTCATAATGACTGAAATTACACGTGGTAGATAGTTTATAAATTTAGGCTTTGACCTAAATCCATTAAATTAACTACATGAATTTATTTTGTATACAGTATTTTATTAATTGTAACAGAAACCTAGTTGACAGATAATTTCTAACTAAAGGAATACAAGGAACTGTAGCGGTTCGTAAATGTTTGACTTTCGTGAAATAAATAAATAAAGTAATATTTCCTTTGTATAAGTTGATAAACAATTCCTAAAAACACGACATTTAAACTTGATTTTTAAATATTACGTACCATATTTCATCTGTAAAAATTGCTACGATTAAAGCTTTTAATTAAATTTACAAGTTATATCTATACCATTGTCCTCTGATACTAATCAGAAACATCTAATTTTTTGTATTAATTTGTTAACCCCCTATTGCACATGTAATAAAAACAATTTCAGCAAAGTATACTCAGGAAGATTCCCAAGTCATATTTTTTTTATAAGACTATGTAGTAGCTTTGTAGATTCATCTACTTATTATTTAATTATAATATTAATTCTTAAATGTATAAATAATAAGAAATAATTTTCTTTTAAAGATAAGATTCGTGCAATAAAGGGTTAAAGAAACAAATAAGAATTATTACTTTTTATAATACGAATGATTGAATAGCTTTTTTGGTAAATAATGCATGTGTAAAATTCGTCAAGATAGAAACGATTTTCGTTTTCATGGTATATATATTATCGAATTTTCAACGCAACGCGTTTCACATTGATTACATTTAATTACATTCAATTATTGCATAACGATTAACAACACGTGCGGTATACTTTCTTTTGCATTAAACCTTACTTTTAGTGATGGAATCTAGAATTACCCGAAACGGTTCGAGTGAACAATGGAAAACATCGAGATTATAAGAAGTTGAAACAGCTGTATACTAGAAAGTTTCAAGAATTTAATCGCTAACAAGCGGGCTCGCTTTGCTCATTTTATGTAAGAGAAATAGAAAATTTAGTTATTTGTAATTTCCATAAATTTTGTGACATAGAATGATTTTTTATAACAATTTTTGTTTTGAAAATGCAGTAATCATGTTCGTTGAAATTGGAAATGATTATTAGTTGAAGAAGATAGATAATTCGAAGTTTTCCAAAGACCGAAATCATTTTGAAGATTGGAATATCGAGTACATCCATCACTGACTATCTTTGTCGATTACGAGAGAATGATCGATGAAAACGAAAATCTATCGTTGACCATTTTCTCGATCGAACTTCGTTTCCCTCAATCCTGCCCATGGATGGAATCTTTCATTAGGTTTTATCTTTATTCAGAGTTTTGTGTTTGTCTGTGTTTACGTCAGACGTACACATAACACAGCATCAAGGTTACCAGACGTCTTAAAAATTAGGTTTATCATATTCCTCGTAATAAAGTCATATTTTCCAAAATATGTCTGGTTGCTATCAAGTTATGTTCAAATTTAACGTACAATGGCTGTGTACAGCAAAGTACAAATGCCTGAACTTAGATAAGAATTCGTTTGGCATCTCTTTTGACATAAAATATTATTTAACATTGTTTAAAATTCTTACCATGGCTCTCTTACTGATTATTACTCTTTTCATGCTTTAATCTTCTTGCTAGTCATGGCTGTTGCAATTTTTTAAATCTGGTAACCTTGCGCAGCACCGACTATGTGATATTTATATTGGTAACTAGTCGGAGAAAGATACCACTGCTCTGGAGAGCAAATTTGAACAGGATTGGTTTAACCATACGCAACGCACGATAAAGTACATAATGTACACATAAATAATTACATAGATACAATTAGGCATAGATCGGTTTTATATATACAAGTAACGCGGAGCAATCGTTTGGATTCGCCGCGATGAGATGCTATGTCGGGGAGCCAATCCGTCGTCTCATACTTTCTCACAAAGTCAACTTCGTGTTTTTGCGTTTACGAGTATTTCGTTTTGATACCGATCGTAGACACGCCTGCGTGACATATTGCCTGCGGTACTAACATTTCTTCCTTCTCATGATAATTGAAACACTAATATCACTTAAATTTTGTTATCGATAAGATTTGGTTTCGTCTTCCAATCCATCCGCCTATCTATTCTATAAAGGACGAATTGTACAGTGACAAGCAAAACTTCACACATGATATAAACATTTCCAAATGTGTTCACATATCTTAGACTGATAACATTGTATTACAAATTATGAAATGGTATACGAGTGTTATTATCTATTATCCATCAAGGCCAGTTAATATTTGTTTACATTATTCAGAATATAGAATGGTACATCTGTACCAACTTGATTGAAATCAGTGTTTACTAATACCGATTCGCCCTGTCGCTTCTGTACTACTTTCTTAGTCGTTTGCAACTTTGTCAACAAACGTTCATCTACTATTCATTGTTGATAAGTATTGCTGTACTTATTAAGAACATAACAGAATGAAAAATTCTTAAAAGTATGTTCAATTATTTGCTCATCACTGTAATGTGTAATATGCGAGTAAATATATTCTTCAATTCATGGACAAATTTCTTCACACATTAAATTTGTATCATTTTTTTTTTATAAATTCTTTTTCGATATACTGATTTAAGTTACTGTCAGAAGCTTCAAATTTAACATTTCAAACAGTTATACAAAGGAAAACAGAAGATATGACGGTATCTCCTGAGAAAATGTCAGCGAATGAATTCGATGAACACGTCAAAATACCGATAACAAAAATTATTTCGGCATAATCGTTTGTTATATTTCATTTGATTAACACAACTCGTCGTCCCTGACATGAGCACTGTGTCATTCGTGTTACCGATTTCGCTTAAATTTTGCATTTTATATAATAGTGCATTAAATATAAATGGTATATTGTCCTCAATTTTATGAGAAATTCAAACATAAATTCGAGAAAACATATTGATTTTTAATTCTGTTTAAATTCATTAAATTATTGTTGAATATTACTTCAATAATATACTAACTGTTTCGTTTCAACCTTGAACTACTCGAATCTATAGAGCGTTGTGTGTATAATACATTATTGTATCCGATTTGCACTATACATTTGTATATAAATTTGAATGAAATCGATAATTCCAATGTAGCACAGTTCCCTTTCAAGATGTTTTAGTTTTGATTCTAAACACATGACATTTGGTTATACCCAAAGATTTACCATGTGTTGGAAGATACACTCGTGATTTTGTGCGATCCATTATAGACGTAACAGAACTGCGACGTGGAAATTGATCATCACAATTGTATACATCATTATGCGTATGTAAGAATCTGGGCGACGGAGTCGTAATTTCTCTAACAAAAATCGTTGCCATGCTTACATAAAACATTGCGCTAATCTCCCAAAAGGCAATAACGATAATAAATTAAACTAAATGAATTCGATAACATCTACATTCTCTACCGCGTTATCCGTTTGTTTTACAAATGGAGAAACATTTTAACTCGAGAAAGAAAAATAATTGGGAAATCACACTTCACGTTCGGATGACTGTACAGATCAAATTCAATCCGTTGCATTTTCGATTCTAAATGATGAAATAAATATTATTACATAATAGTTTTCGCGTGGAATATTTATAAAAACTGTAATAACCGTCGCAAAAGTTACATTTTCATGTATCAAAGAATTTAACTGTTAATCTTCACTATCACTTTGTTCTTAGTCATAAGTAACAAATATGCGCGATCGAGTGGCGATTAAGATCAGATCTCGACGTACAGTTCTCTTTATAAGACACAAAAACATTCAACATGCTAAACGGTAAAAATCACGCGACAGGTAACACGTGTAAAATTCGTAAAACAGGAATTCATTTGAAGCGTTTAACTATACATAAACAGATTAAACATAAGGCGATTGATACAAATTGTTACATTGATCTATGGTTTTCGCCATTGTAAGTATTATGTATGTACAAATCCTTAGGCGACAATTAATATTTTTTGCCTTTTTTTTTGGTATGTATATATACACATGTATGTACTTTCAACGCGAGGTACCAGTACGGTAACCTTTCAACTATTATATCGGAGTTTCAGGAATATGTAAACGTGGCTCGAATGACACACGCGATAGCGTAACATTGCGTAATGTACAGTACAGCACACAAATCCTTTTACGTAGAAACGTTCAACAAATTTCACGATATATATTTGATAGTATGAAAGCGTTTCACATATTTTACTTTAGATCTAGACTCGGAAAATTCTAATGAATTATTCAGATCCGTAACTACGTAGATAATAATCAAATGATATAGTGCATTGATTTAATAAATAAAAAGAATACTTTCTTTAAGGCGTGACAACATTCAAACTATTTCCGGGTGCTACAGCAACGCAAAAATCGAGCATATTCGTGCGCACAACCAAAAAACGTAAAGGTTTAAATTACATAAATGGAAAAAAAAGAAGATACGATAGATTGAAAAGGAACAAATTTTCGTACCATGCTCGATGATAATCGCTATGTCATATCCTGCGCCGTGGAACGATGAAATTCATCACTCGAGCATATTCCGTATGATACGGTATCTGATTATTTAGCATTAGCACTATTGAAGTACCAATAAACGCACCAACATTCACGACGGCACTTTCGGTTATTTTTGTTTGTTGTCTACGATGATTCCACGTTTCTGCTTGTAAACTGATCCCACTTGCTGTACTGCTCAATTTTTTTTTTTTTTGTCCAGTACTGGAATAGGAGGGGCCATCTATTGTTTATACGTTAAATCGTGTTTCAGATCCGTCGGCAAGCATCAACGTAACCGTTCGGTTATTTATCCATATCAATCGAGCTAATCGCATAGGGTTCAATCGCGCTACGTCATTAATAGGCGCAGTACTGTATGACTTAACGCAACGTGTCTGTGAATTTCCTAGGCCAAACATTCCGCTATTTGTTTGCTAGAAATGTTAAAAGTTTTTAATTAATATTATCGACGTTTACCTTAAAATTAACTAAAGAATAAAAATTGTCCTTCCTACCTGCCAGAAACATAGCTTATTTTCCGCGCATGAATAGCTAACCAGGAACTTGCCCTCAGGTGAAAATGCTAACGCAGTCACCGGTACTGAATGCGCAGGTACTGTCTGGCATTTAACGTTTCCTCGCAATTCATAGAGAGCGAGTTGACCGTTGCGACTACCGACTGCTATCCTGCGCGTTGCTGGACAGTGACTTACCTGAAGAAAATATGAATTTGTTACGAGCCTACGCTTAAACAAAACGCTGAATAGTACCAATATCAATTAACTTACTTGATTAAATCTACATACTGCTGGAAATACGTCGTTTAATGGTTTAGTTTTGAGATGACCTGGGTCCAGACAATGTAAAATAATATCCATGACCTGTAAACATTGGTTATTACATTATAAATACGAAAACGTTTCAGGTTTCTCCAGATTCCGGTGAATACTATTATTTTTACCTCAACTAAAAGATCACTCATTTCACTCTGCATTTTATCGATTAATTGTTCAACAATTCGGAGTATTTCTGGTTTCGCCCTAGCTAAAACGCTTGCACCTATATTTACATTTAGTGTTTGCGCATTTTGCTGCAGTGTATTAAATCTAGCCACCTCTCGCGCCATCGTAGTAATGAATGCTGCAGGTCTGGCAGTAGCTATTAAGGTTAAAGCATGACGTGCCGTGCGACATGTATCAGCTTGAGGTGTAAGAGGAAGGCCGTACGTCATACTTGGTACTAATTTATCAGCATCACAACACATTTCCAATAGACCCAATAATACCTGTTAATTATTATTTGATTTTTAAATATGACAAGCAATATATGATATTTGTTTAAACATTTTCCTAATCTATTATCATAATTATTGATTTAACATTTAAATTAGTAGTATTTTTCTTACTTTCGATACGTCAAGATATGGTTCCCAAACCGTGAAACCTCTACCAATGAGATCAATTGCTGCTCTTCGCAATGCCGTGTGTAAAGGCAATTTAGGAGAATGCGGCGCGTGTAACAGATGCGTGAGCGCCAAACTAGTATGCCTGGCAAGATTATTATTTCCTATTCCGAAACCTTCTACAATCGAACTCTTTCGCCTCTGTTCATTATCCCTTTTCTGATTCATCGTAGTAACGTCTTGACCAAATTCAGCACCTATTACGCCCAATAATACAACTGCCGTCGTTTGTTTTCGTTTCAGTTCCGCCACGCTCGATGGTTTCCTAGCTACATTTATTTCTGCTGATAGTAAGAATGTATAATTAGGATGTTTACCCGATAAAAATAATGGAACGCCAAATAAATGTTTCATGAATTACCTTCCACTAATTCTTCCTCTTCATCTTCTTCTTCTTGATGCGATTCAGATGGAGGAATTGGACTATTAGAAGTTGGAGGACTTTGGTTCTGTACTTGTGGTGCAATGGGCTCTTGAGTGCTGTACATTGGAAGATATTGCGACCAACTATCTACCAGCGCTTTTCTTCCTTTTGGACCCATTCTACCTAGTTCGGCGAGTAATAAAGCTTGAGCAGCTTCGCGGATCTGAAATATTGTCATTAGATTTACTATTATGCATTCTAAACGTGTTGGCAATAACTAACCTCAAGGCATTGATGTTGCCATCTCCGTGCCATCATTTCGACTTGAGGCCGTTTGAATGTTTTCGCACCACCTTGCGAAGCTACTTTGTCAGGTAGAAGCACGCAATGCAAGGTCGCTAAAAGCGACCAACCTTGCTTAATCTGTGCCTGTTGTACTGTATAAATTTCTTCATTTTCTTCTTCTGCTTTGTTCCAATTAACTGCCGATCTGTTACCCGGTCTACATAAAATATACCCATGAAATTTATCCTACAATATAATTTTGTGTACGAAACAAACGCTGACCTATGCAGTTTTCGATTCCGTTCTTGTTCAGGTACAAATGTTGCATTATTCATTGACATTAACGTATTCGCCAAAGCGACTACTGCCAATAAATGATTACTGGTTAATGTGGTAGACAGCTCCCAATGTGCTCTTGCTGTGAACGCTCTGGTAAGCCTTTCTTGTCTGACTAATTCGATTGGTAAACGTTGTTCCAGTTGCGTTGCCGGTTCACCGGCTGGTTCCAATTGCGTTTGCCAAGTTGGTAATAGTAACGACATGTAACCTACGATAAACAATGTTGATTTAACAACGTAGATACGTACTTAGGAAGTTTTCATATTTTTGCGCATACCTCCTTTAGACAATACTCCAAAAGAAACAGGAACCATGGGTCTTAGTAAACCTAGCTTTCCTTCGCAAACGCGATCTAAGTCTGGATCCATGCCCCAAGCATGTAATAAGCTCAATATAAGCTGAGCAACCTCCATAGTTGCATTTGGTTCGCTGAAAGCTCCATTCCGTTTCAAATTGTTCTTTGCAGCGTCGCTATTATTCCAATTGTCACCTGCGAATGATTAGGACTTCTAGAGTAGCTACAGACATGCAAATTTTAAATCTACCACAGCTGTGCATTGAAGAAGTGAAGTATAACATCAAAGTTTAAAACGTTCCATACATTTTCACACAAAAGTTTCCTGAAGTAAACATATTAGAAATATTTCAATGATCAACTGCCAATACGTTTCAACCCTAAATATTCATTGTGTCAAATGTATGAAAAGTTTTATAACAATATGCACCGATACGAAATCTATAAATAAAGATGAATGTATAAAGCAAAAACCTGAAATGTATGAAATGTTAACATATATATGTAAAGTATAATGAATAAATAAAAGAAACAATAATTTTAGATACTATACAATAGTGGCCAAAAATATGATTTATATATTCCATAGTAACATTTTTTTTTTGCAACTCACTGTTGTACATAAAAGTACTAAACTACATTGTATACTTATTGAATAACGAAACAGCCTGGAACGAATAATTTGGCGCACAAATTAATAACTGTTCAAATTGTAAAGCACTATGTAAGTTCATCAAAGGAAATGTTAATGAGTACCCTTAGTGTCTTGTATCATAAACATCAATGAATGCATTTTACATAAAAAAAAAAGAAGAAACTGAGAAGCGAAACGACAAATCTAAACTAACAAAAAAAAATCCATGCGATGTGATTTCAGCAGCAGAAAGTACAATAAAAATAGCCATCCTCCTTAAATCGTGGCTAACCTTTACCGTCGAGAGTCGACGGCTTGAGGCCAACGCTTTCCACCTTGGCCTGAATTTTAGTGTGTACGTTCTCTGCACCCTCCTTCATTTTAGCCAATATACCTACAGAAAGAAATTGGCTTTAGATGTAATAAACGAACTTTATCTCAAAACGAATCTTCTAACTAACGACTATAGTTGAAGTATGGATTACAGGCATTACGAAATCTGTGAATATTATATGAAACAAACATTCCATGAACGAGCATATTTAGGTTATATGTCCAAGATTATAGAAATACTACCAAGCGTAAAAAAGAATTAAGAATACAAAACATTGCTTCACTATACCAAGTTTCTAATTCGAACAAATTTCGATCGATCAGTCTTTTGACACATATATTGGAGTTCCGAATGAAACAAGTATATAGAAATATTACTTCGACCGGATTAATACCGCCTCAACAAGATTTTTGGAAAATATGCATAAAACCACCTATATCTGTGCACATGCAGTCATACGAGAAGAATTGTATGTGCGTATTAATTGAATAATGAATAGCTTGTGCAGGAAGTAATATATCAAGAAAAACTAACGATCCTGTATGATATCCTTACTAAACCTTCGTTCTACAAGATATATACAAAAAAAAAATAACCAGATACAAACTACGATTTGCAAAATAAAACAATAGCAGAGAACGGTACCGTGACGATCCTTCTCCTTTAAAATTCGTTCAACGTCGCCGGCCTTATCCTTGACGCGACCGAAAAAGTCTATAAAGTGGCATGTTAGTATCAATTTCTTAATTAATTCACATAATAGTTAAATTTTCAAAAGTAACTTTTTATTTGCTAGTATACGGAGAAAAGTGAACTATGTCTTCACCTGCAATTTTTTTATGCGCGTCTGGACTGGCGGACTGTGTCAGCGCTGCAACTTTTTGATACTCCGAGGCCGAAATTAGACCTTGCGCTTCCAATGAACCTGGCGACATCGTTCCATACTCGTCACTAAGTAGTTGTACTACACAAAAGAAAAAGAGAAATGCCTTTATTGATCTGTTATTACATATGTTGTAATCAACACAAAAAAAAATTAATACCTATTAATGCTTCTATGTCAAAAAATAAAATGTGACTTTCTGGATCTTTAGGATTACTCCTAAAACCTTGAATCATTAGAGGAGCGCCTTTTGCTTTTATTTGACTTCCGTGATCTGGTCCATGGCCGCCATGAAGTTGTTGCAATTGATGTAACCCTCTTTGTGTCGCGTGTCTTATAGCAGAGAGGTTTCTATGCCTTAAACCTCTGAAAAAAATAATATAAAATACAATAAATAAGATATAAAAAAAATTACAGTTTAGGATCCTTCCCCTAAAATTTACACAAGGTTCTCACCATCTACGTTGCAAGATTTCATTTACCTAAAGAAATGCACGGCAGGATTAGCTAAGCCTAGTTCTCCACCCGCGGCCGATCCTCCAGCTGCAGCTATAGTGTTTTCGTCACACGCGTAGAGTACTTCTTCGGCAATAATACCTGTAAGAATCGTTAATTATGGCGGTACATACAAAATCGGTAATTATCAGGATATTTTATATAAAGGAATATGAGAATTGAAAATGTATACATACCATGTAATACACGATCTAGGTGACCAGTTTCCATTTGCCATACATATACAGCCCCATCCGAACATCCGACTATCATAAAGTCATCCAGTGGCCTCCATTTTATGGTAACAACTGGAAACAGGTGTCGCGAAGCAAGAACAACGCACTTCCTTTCTGCTAGCGATAATAAAGTAACACTATGATCTGACGCAACACTGCAAACACACTTTTGTATTCTAGGCTAAAAAAGAACAACGAGATTATAATTACATAACAATGAAAAACCATACCATAGTATAAATAGTACATTATGAAATAACTGTTATAAAACTGTATTAGTTGTTAATGTACGTAGAAAGAAATTTTACTATCTTTTAATTAAACTTTTAACTAATATAACAGTTGTTTCAAAAATCATTCTATTTGTTCGAGATGATTAATAACATTTAACGTACACTACAATTATCAGGTGGCACCATCAATTGAGTAATTTCACCAGCGTGGACACAGAACCTGTGAATCAGCGTACCGGCATAAAGGTCCCACAAACATACAGCGAAATCGACTGAACCAGATACAAGATGTACTCTGTCATAACGCGGTGCAGCTCCATGCGGATATAAAAGACAATTCACTCGACCAGAGTGACCTAAAAGTACTTGGTGTGGGGGCCAATCTATAAACCATATAATAATTTATATTGAAATTGCTTGTTCGATCACTAATGGTTTCGTTTGAAAATATCATTATATTTAATAATATGTTCGCAAGTATGAATTGATTGTACCATCGTATTGTTGGTGATTCCCATGAAGTAATTGGAGCATGACTGTTTGTGTTGCAGGAACAATGATAATACTGCCATCTTCGCGACCAACAACTAGGCGACTTTGTTGTGGTAAATATATACTAGCCGTTAACTTTATACCATGTCCATCTCCACTGTCCAACTGATCTAATATTCCAACCGGTGGTGGTCTCATTTGTGCCCAAGCAGTGGTCAGACTTATTTTCACTGCTGGTGATAATGAGACAGGTGTTGAGTGATCATTCTGACAGATTTGGGACAATTGTTGAGTTGTTACTTCTGGTACTGTCCAAAGAAAAACAACACCTTCGCTATCACCACGTAATAAATATTTTAGTGTTTTACTTTGCCGTTGTACTGTAACTAATCGCATTGCTGGTGGGCACGACAGAGGCTATAATAAAAACAATGTAATGTACTACCCGATAATTTTGGTTTTTATATCTTATTTAAAGCTTTTTTTTATTAATCAAAAACTTCGAAATTACCTTGTCTCCAGGTTGCGTCAGAGTACAGTATAAGTAAGGTTGATCATATTCGGCACCCGCCGTATGAAAACTTTTATTGTCTGCAACGCTACTGCATGATCAAAACAAAGAACAATAATATATTATGTTAGTATTTTTAATCTTTTATATAACATGATGCCATTTATGGCCACCAATTCACAACAGATTCTAATATATTATGATATATTAGAAACTATTTTATAGAATTATCCATAAATAGTAATTATTATATTTCGTGAACGATCATTTGCATTTGTTATATTTAATAGCTTATTTAATAAGAAATGTATCAGTAAGCAGAAAAGCATTGCATAATTTGATTCAATCAATCTATATAATCATGTTTTTCTTACAGGAATTTGTTAAATCAGATGTAAATCTAATATATAAATTTATTTGCAAAACTAAATTCAGCATAAGTAACTAAAACTATAATAAGCTGGCATGGCACTACTACATTTTTTATTTAAATGATTATTTTCATCATTCACCTGATCTATAAAGTAGTGATACATGTAAAGCAATTCAAGGCAAACGAAAGGTGAAAACACAAAGTCTGAAATGCATATTGCCCTTGTTTGTTATGTCTTCGTTTAACATGTTTTTGTATGATATTGTTTAACACGGTAATTATTTAGAAGATAGAATATGAACTATACACTTATAAGCAGACAGTGCACGAAAATGTATTATATTATTATTATTGCTAGTGAAGTAAAATCATTTGAAATACAAGAGACTCCCTAAAGAATAATGAAGTATTAAGTTCTGTCTCTATATGATATGACAAACCACTTTTCCTGGACCATGAAATTTCAAAAAGAAAAGTTTCTTTTTCATAATATTGTAGAATGCAAGAACATATAATTTATGATATTCAATCGTAATTTTAAACTGCATTGTTTTTATATTATTTTGTTCTGTCAATTAAATATACGGTATCCTAATTTTTGAATTTCTATAAAATCATAAACTACACTATTTACATCTATTTACAATAACTGAATACAATGAAATTCATGTATTTTACTGTTTATATTAAATAATTTGTTACAACAAACTATCTATGAATTATTCGTAAAGTTGATACTAATTTAGATTTAAATATTAGATAAAGTTTTCTGTTCCACAATTTTACTTCTGATAAAGAAGTACATACAAATCTGTTAAATTTTTTAATTAACTTTTGAAACTCCAACTGTACACCAAATGTATTGTAAGGAGAAAGCAAGATCAATCCTAAAAGGAATTTTCTACTTTCTCTTTACATCACATTATTACTTTATTATTTAAGCAAATTTCATTGTATTTATCTTTCATCTGTACATATATGAAAATGTATAGAACTGCACCTGATTGATCACATTCAGTATAAAGGAGAAGAAGTAATTATGAAAACTAAATCAGTAGAAGAGCAATATGATTAAAAAAAAAATACATACGAAAAACACAGGTAAAGAGACAGTGAAATTACAGTGAAGAACACAAGACGAGAGTGTGTAAAAGAAATAATCCAGGGTTACCTGCTGAGAGCCTTGCCCTTCAGCTTGCTAGAAGGACACCAGATCCACCGTAGAATGTAGTAGATGTGTATTATATGAAAAAGACACATCACCGTAAAAACAGATCACAGTGTTAATTGTATGTTTGTAATATGGGAAAATGAAAAACTACTTGAGTATAAAACTTTCAAATTTTCTATATCGACTTTACTTAGATCGTATATGCACTGCTTTGGTGTACTTTTCTCACTGATTAAGAAAACTCATCGAATTCGATCACATTGATGAAACAACAAAAACATTTAATGAGAACTTTGCTTACCTATGTATATAAAACCATTTAAAGTGCACATAAATACAAAGTCATTTATAACATTCATACCGTAAATAGTAAATAAAATACATTTTTGTTTAAACGTTAAAACTTCGTTAATATAGTTTTTGTATAAAATAGATAGATCCAAATTTTAATTTTTAATTTAATAATCGAATATGAATGTTCATGGTAAATGATGTAAAGAAATATAAAGAGAACAAATATTAAATGTGTGCATTGCCAGCAAGTGCCTCTACAGAATAGCATTCAGACTTAAAAATTGAAGCCTTTGGTTAATTTGAAGATTGGTGCATCTAATTAAGGTGAATTTATCTACGTATTTTGTATATTCGTAAAGATACAGTAATTATGTTTGACATATTTTACGTTAAATTTTAAACCTGATTCGCCTGTAATGATATCTCATTTTTATTTCAGAAATCATTTGTCCTATGTTATAGAATATTGAACTATTATGATGTATTGTTAAATATATTGTATACTATATTATTAAAGCATATTATTAACAAATTCTTGTTATATTTTGTTTTTTTAAATATGTTAAATTGGTATAACAATTGATTACATCAATACAAACAAATGCATATTAGTATTACTAGCTATGCTATAAAAGTAAGCATCTCTTAATTAAATATTATACATATTTCTTTTATAAAAAACGATATGTTAATTATTAGGTCTGATAAAATTTACGATACTAATTTCCCAAAAAACTACCTGTCAAGGTGTACCAGAACCCTATAAGCAACAAATGAATAGTCTATTAAATGAATTGATATTTCAAATAACTAAATCATATTAGGTAATATGATCACGAATGTTCTGTCTTAGAAATACTTGATGTTATGAATTATGTACAAGCTCTTCTACAATATAATGAAATAATGAAATTCGAATATTTTATAAGAATTCTAAAATAAAAAAATATCCAAGATTCCAAAGTAGAGTAACAAGAAGGAGGAATCTCGTTCTATTTAGAAACGTACTTAGCTGGTAGTTTATAGAGATAACCATGACCTTTGTCACTCCACAAAATAACCCTGTCCGCAGCTAGGAAGTCGCCAGCCATCCAACGTTCTCCACGAGGCGCAGAAATTGAACACAAGACAGAAAAGTCACCGGCATCGTATATCTGTTTCAAGTAATGCATGAATAAAAACAAACTTAATTTATCTAAAAGGGTGCAGTAATAAGAATACATACCTGCCAATCTTTGGAACACACAATTAATACAGTTCTTTGATTATATGGGCAACAGGTCATTGCAAGTGCATTTAGACATCGTATCTGTTTGCTTTCATGTTCATAAAGGGGTTCACTGTTACGATTCTCATGACCAAGAAGAGTCCACACCTTGACCGTACCAGTTGTTGTTAAGGCCAGTACGACATCGTCTTTAAATGAATGGAAGCGCCTGTTGCGCGTTAACTACATCTAAGTAGGTGTTGTAGCATTTCAAGCAAAAGAATTTTCAGTATTGGTCAGCAAAGTAATACCTTACATGTATTGTAAATGCAAACCAAAACGTAGATCTTTTACAAAGTTATAAAATAATATTCTGATACTGTTAAATAAATATATTAATATCAAAGAAAAAAAAACATCAAAGTAATTTCTGATTACAGCTCTAACTAATATATCCATTTAATATAGTATTAGAATTTCATGCAAAATAAGATTCTTTGTTATATTTAAGAAATAATTATACCTTGTATGAAGATCTCAATACATGCATACTTTAATCATGCACAAAGCATCTTGAAAGTTTAGTAATTGTTGATTTTCAAAATATAGTATAGGGAAAGAGAAAGCCATTGAAATATTCATTTCTTTTAAATATATTTTCCATTTTCCAGTGAAGTTCTATACTAAACTTAAAAGATACCGCGTATTAAAAACTAACGTGCTGAAAACTTATATACATGTCTTTACCAAAACTGTAAAATTACACCTATTATGTAAATATTACGAAAAGTCATTCACTGATTAAAATACATGCGGTTATATTCCTTACATTATTTTTGTTTATTTAAATTCATTGTTAAATAACTATATTGTACTTTGAAAATTTTAATTCTAAGGAAGAGAAAATGGTTAAAGAACAGATATAAAAATTATATTATGTTTTTCAGTTCACTCTATATCGCAATAAGTAGTTAAAAAAGAAATTGTTCGATATACAGATTAAAGCCTAAAGCAACTAACGCACTACAAGAGCAATAAATAAACATTTAACTAAATGTTGATACTCCCTTTAAAATTATAAAAAAACAAAATTGCATTCATTGCATTCAAACATTAAACACATTTTAGAAATTATGAATTTAGAGTAATATATACTTACTATAAATATGGTTTATCACTCAAAAATGATATGACAGTGATTAACGAATGTAGGTAAAATGCAATGTATGCTTTAATGATGGTGTTTTGTAATAGGAGAGCAAATGAAGGAGATTAGTATGAGGAAGGAGATTAGTTGAAATGTTAATGTTTGCTCATTTGATTTCATTTTTCAAAAGAATGAAAATTGAAAGACGACGAGAAAGAAACAATGAAAGATATGATACAGCTTGGACTATCAGTGGAATAACACTGATGTATTTCCACATGTAATTCATTAACATGCTGCAACAATGTAACTTTTATTAAAATTTTGATAATGTATAAATTATTATCATTACGTAATATAGAGTACATTGTTAGTAGTGCCATCAAATAACATTATCATCAAAAAATACCCCTTATAGAAAAAATTAAGTACATGTAAAGTCTTTCATATACCCAAAGCGTAAAAGCTTCTTCAAGTTAATTGCTTAAAAAAAGAATTAACAGATAATTCAAAGCACCGAAAAATTGTAAAACTTACACGCATAGATCATCTTGTTAAATGCTTTACCAACGGAAAAACTCTTTAAACTTTATAAATAAAAGATCCCAAAGATAGTAGATTTTATTAATGACTTTAATACTTTAAAAAAGACCTGTTGAGCACCGAGATAGTATACGAAAAATTGGTAGAGCAGGAAATACCAAATATACTGTGCAATGAAATATCAAATGAAAGTCTAATCAGATAAAATAATATCGATTCGTTTTTGCTTCAATCAGATAAATTAAATAATACCATGAGTACCATTCTGTTATAGTAATCAAGTTTTGCACAATATACATTGGTAGAGCAGTCAGAGAGAAGGAAAAAGAGAGAAAGCAGCTTATGATATAAAGCGTAGGTGTGATGGAGTGTAACTAACTTGTGTGCACGTAGAACCGACCTTTCCGTTTGGCCGGCCGCAAAACGTGCAGAGCACTAATCCAATCAGGATTGACGCGCGAACTTAAGGTGAATAAGACTTCCAAGCTGAAAGGGTCCATCACTAAAACCTCAGGGTAGTATCTGAAATGTGAAACAAATTTTTATTCTTCAGTTTGGAACTGTATATTTGATTTTACTTAAAATAATATTAATGTAAGTCTGATGTACCCAGAACAAAAAAGTCTAACATCTTCTCCACCAGCGGAAACATAAGGCAACATCTGTGTGTGAACACTACTAAGTTTCACAGCTTCTCTGCATTTTCCATCAACTAAATCCCAAGTGCACATCTCTCCACTTTCACTGCTGCTGACAATATAATTCTGTTCCATGATAGCGCTTGCTCGACTCAAGCACAATATTGGAGCAGTGTGACCAACAAGTAAGCATCTTGGAGTCATCTTAATATGAAATTGACGGTGATTAATTATTTAAATTTTATACATTGAAATGTTCTCTTTTTACTTTCTATGTTTCTGATTAAATTGTTCAATATTACTAATAACATATATTTACATTTAGTGTTTCGGGATCCATTTGCCACAAACATATCTGCCCATCGTAACAGCCAGTCACCAAGGTTTTTTGATCTCGAGATAAATAAATACAAGAAATGCAATGAGTTGGAGCTATACGACCCCATAGCACTATGGGTACCACCAAGCTTGTACCTGCTGTCATTTTTAAAATTCAACCTATAATTTATAGTTAAAACTTTATAAAAACATATCAAAATTTAAAACACTTATGTTAATTAATTTATTTTGTATTATTACTAAAATTTATAATTGATCTACTAAATGCCAAACCACTTAAACATTGTTAATACAATTAAGTATTATGTATATTATAAATACATTCAATAAAATATGCAGTATTATTATCACACTTTAACATGTAATTTTAACATCTCTTTAATGCAAAAACATGGTTTTTATTATATAATAATTGAGAATATAAATTACTTAAAATTGCTAATTTTAAAAAGCAATCTAAATAACTTTTATTTTTTAAGAAAATAATGTTTCAATCTCTGGTTTTCGACCTTCAGATTTTAAAATGTTATTACTCTGTTTTTTTCATTTGAAATTTTTTGTCCTTTTTAAAATGATAAAATAGAAAATTAAAGTGTTCAGTTGTTGATCTTGATTGTAAACAAAATACATCCTACATGGATTAATGAAATAATAATATGAATATTGAACAGGGTTGACATAAAGAACTGTATTACCATATCATATTTTTTTGTTCTAATAAATTCATCATCCAATAAAACCGATAGTACCTACAATATTTAAACAGAGTAATGACATTATAAAATCTAAGAAAGAATATAAAATATGAAATGAAACATAGTTTTATTAAAATATAAAAGTTACCTGCATTGTTCTCTAACCTAATAAATCGAAATTATTTATACTTTTAGCCAATCCAATTGATAAAAAATAACAATAAAAATTCGTTTTAATTGTTTATACTTGATACATATTATATAATGTTCATTTATTCCCATCTTGGAACAACATATCAATATTTTTGATTTATCATATCATCGGAATATTCATTTTATGCATTTACACTCGATCAACTTGTCAATTCGCTAAAAAATTGTTTTGACAATACAGCAATACGTATACAGTCAAAGCACATGTTCATTTGTGTGAATGTACAAGTAAGAATTGTATCTACAAACATAAGTTTCTTTTATAACACATAAGATAACAATGATTCAAGGAAATATAACCCAACATAAACTGTTAACTGACAATGCGATAAAATAATCCCGTAATAAATAAAATGACAAAACCTTGTTATAGAGTAGTCGAAGAATAATCAGCGTTACATCGATATTAACAGCAGGTATTTTCGTTGATAACAAATCAATTCTTCATCCGTAGCAAAAAGGGCTTGACAAGTATCTACCACAAAGTCCATCGCAACAACGCGATACACTAAGGATCTCGAAGAAAACCTATTAAAAGCAATTAGAGGCGTCTGCTACATCACATTCACGAGATGTCAGTGACAATCTACAGAATTTCAATTTTATCGCGTTTGTATACAATTACTCCAGCAACTCAACGCGGGTTCTATGTAAAAATCCATAGAAATATTTACCGAAAATACTGAATATTAATGACAACAGCTCCAAACGTTGCAACTGGCGATATATGCCAAAAATCATACAATCCTTACTGCACTCTCACGATCGCGGCCATCTTGATGTTGAGAATAGTCTGACGAATACATATACAATCAGCTGTTCCACGTCAAAAGATCCCTAGACAGTAAAATCTTGTTTAACGCGGCCCTCGGTAGATAACAGAGAGTCCAAACTCAGATGTAATACCTTGAACGTTTTTAGTTACTTAGACATAAGTAGGCGGCGCTACTAGACACGACAAAACCATGTATTATACAATTTCAAGATATTCTATCTATCCTCAAAGTTCAATTATTCCGAACGTATACAAATAAATAGCCAATTCTACATATGTATATATTTTACTTTTATGTATCTTACAATTTAGGTGAAATATTTTACAATATTTAGTGTTTTTGATTCATTCTATCAGCTTTAGAATTTAGTCTTATATTTGACCGATCGTGTCCTTGATTTATCGACTGCGAAAAAAAACGAATTGTACTAAAGCGCACTCTACATCTATGTAAGCTAACCTTAGAAAATATACTCGGTCGGTACATCAAACTTGGAAACATTAATTCAGTAATCTCGTCTCCACTGTTTTACAATTAATAAGTATAATAATTGCAACAAATTAGCATTAGTCATATTGTTCAAAAATTAAGATATTCATATTACACAAATTGTAATATTTATAGAAATCCATATCCATAGTTAGGCGCTGGTATAGTAGAACTCCAGTTATCCTAATCTGGTTATCCCTCGACTGATTAGGATAAATGGAGTTCTACATTACTCACTGATACGTTGGATATGTAGTTGTGGTGCTTATTACCTAATGCTGTCTGTCAAATGTGCACTAATTAAGTCATGAACTCATTTTATTACATCTACGTTTGGATACAAAGACTTGCTTTCGTAGGCGGCATTGTCGTGTAGTAGAGAAATCGGATGGTAATTCAGTTTACCGTATGGTAATTGAAGAGATAGGAACTATTTCATGTCGAACTTGGACGTTTTACCACCGATGGCGCTGACCAAAAAATTTCAAATTTACCGCCCAATATTTAAATAGAATCTCTCAGGGGCTGTAACTGTGTTTGATTGTAGCTACAATACGGGTTTAGACTGATACATTAGGTGTTATTTAAATAGAAGACGGATTGAAAGAAAGAAGTAGTTGTTACTAAGATCCTTACTTAGATGCCAATGACTCCGGTTTAGCATGTTTACGAAATTATATTCTTGTTTTGAAAATTTTACTTTAGGAAATTTAATCTCTTCCATCTAGATTGACATAATTGTAAATGCAATGTGGCAGTATGATATTATGTTGACATGCTTGCAAGAAATAAGCATTTGAGTAATCAGTACGACCCCATTAACCTTTAACAGCGATATACATTTGCACGAAATGATTATCTTCTTACATCTTAAATTCGTAATTAATAATAATGTATCGAGCATTATTTTAACGTGGTCGGTTAGTAACATTTTTTATTATATGTAGAAACATTCTAGACGTTTCATGAAATCTGAGATAGAAGAAATCGAACACAACTGATCCGTGAAAAGGATAGAATAGTTCTTTGTATAGTGTACCGTTAAGAATGACTCAACAATACAGAGATATTTCCATAAAATATATTGTTCTTTTTTCACGATAAGATTAAACAAGAAGAATAACGACAAGCTTTAGCTGCTGATACTGAGGTCCATTTACGAGTTTTAAATATCTACAATGAGTCATAAAATTATTGGTTCGCACAGGGAGTTGGGACGGAAGTGATGACTAACAGTGTATTTCGTATCATAAGCAATTTAACAAGGAAAAAAAAACAAAAAAAAAACCAGATCGTAGGAACGTGTTTCTAGAGCTGCTGCATTGGAATCCCCTCTGAGCAAATAACGTTGTTTTAGCTATTCATTGAGTTGTGGTTTTCCAGGGATTTCAAGGACTCGTGCGCGATGGAGCATGTTAACGTGTGTTATCACGTATTCTTGCGGAGCCGCTTCGATGTCTCCAAGTGCTACAGTAAAGCGATTAGACGCATTGCATATCGCTTCCGAGAACGGTGATTATCCTGTACCATATACCGTGCTTGCATAACGTTTACATACGCGTACATACGCGTGAGTCTGACTCATTGGTAAATAAAATTTAAGGCTTTGGATAACAATAAATATTCTCCTATAGGTCGACGAATTTGTCTAAACAACAAATGCTATTTTATTAGGAATGAAAATATGTCATTTAAAAAGAATTAATTTTGTTTTTTAAATTCTCTTTACAACTTCATTTGCGAGCAAATTATTTACTTTATATAATCTTTCACGCGTTTTGTTTTGTTTCTTGATATATATATATATAGTTTTTTACGAAAAAAAGTCATGATTTTTATTCGAGAATCCTACATTCAAATGCAACGACATTGGCGGAATAAAGATTTGATGATCGTTGGTGCACGTAAATTCCAAGGTTTGTTTTGAATAGCTGATCATGCGGGCCTGAATACGATAATCTGGCTTCCTTCGTGCTCATCGGATATGGCCTAGATCAGCAGGCAAGATGCGTGATCTCATCTCGAGACGTATAACACAATCATTCGTAATTACCTCGTCACGAGTCTGCTCGCGTACTTGTTAATTCGCGTGCGAATAGCCTCCGAGAATTTGCGCCGAATGGACGCCTCTTTTCCTGTGTCTTTTCTCGACGTAATCGTCATTCACAGGGATGGCGAAACATTCGAGCATTCAATTTTATTTAAGAGATCAAATTTCTCATAATATTTGGTATGAACAAATAGAAGTACAGAAACGTTTGTTCAAACGCTATTCATGTATGATGGGGTATTATGCTTGTTCTGTAATGTTTATTAAATGAACGCGGAGGCAGAGATCTTGTTAGCTAGAAACTAGTCACAACGAGGTTCACGTTAACGTGATAACCCGAGCGAAAGGTTGCGACTCCGCTGCGTCTGAGTTCCCTTAAATTAACGCAGAATTAATCACGTTTCAGATAGTAAATTGCGAGCGAAATAACACATTAGATGCTACAGTAAACGAGACAGGCCAAGATGCAA